AGGGGGATACTCACAGATAACTATCAGGATCATGCAAAAGAGCTGGATTCCAGAGCCCAGTAAGGAGCTGAGAATCATGGGATATTGTGGAGGCCTGAAGACATCTCCATGCACAAGCTTCCAACCAGACTCCTCCATTGTATCTTCCTGTCGCAAAACCAGAAAAGGGGGGGGTTACAATTTCATCACCCAAATGGAAACACGGGCTCCTTCAAGAGGTGTCCCTCCCCGCACCCGTGCCACGTCAGGGATCCCTCCATTCTGACAAGAGACTCTGCTTTCTTCTGGGATGTGAAACCGAAGGCATCTAAGCCGAGCTTTCAATCTGGCTCCCATACCAGGACGTGCGTGTATCAAGGAACTAGCAACTTACTCAGTAAGTCTGGCAGGATTTAATCAAGTCAGCTGTAATGAGCTCCCGGCAGCTGGGCTGCTGAACGTACCAGCGGCTCGGCTCATCATCCTATCATCCTCCCCTTCCGCTCATTACACAGCTGCCCCCCGCTGCCAGGGTGCTTCTAACGAAGTGGGGGTGGGGAAATGAACCGCGTGGCCAGAAGGGCCCTTCCCGCACGTTCTGGTTTTACACCGCGCCCCGCAGAAGAGATACGTTTCGTACAATGTCATCTTCCTTGTTGTAGTTGGCGATGTCCTTCCTGAGGGTGCGGATAATGATCATGCTGAGGATACCTAGAACACACAAACCCGGAGAGAATGAGACTTGTTACCAGGCTCCCGGGTGAGCCTGCCACCCCTGCTCGCCCAGACTCATCGTCCCTTGGTCAGTTCTCATCCCTGCAGCGCTTGGGCTCAGGCTACACAACTGAAGCAGCTCAGCTGCTTGCCCAGAGCCTGTTCCCGCAGCACCGCTGTCGACAGGAGCTTTGCCATTGCCTCCGGCGTGCAGAGGAGTCCTTATGTGCAAAGCCACGTTGTCTATTCAGGTTTGTTTCCTCCCCCCACCCCAGCGAGTAGAACACTAAGGGGCGGAGGCAGCCGCACACCAACACTTGAGAGCATGGTGCATGGCAGAAGAGGACTCCTCCATGCAACTGGATCATACAAGAAACAAGCCAACGGCCGACTCCAAAAGGTGCTGCCTGGAGTGAGAGTCTCACACACACTGACTTTTGGCAAGACCTTCTGCGTACGGCACCTGTCTGGGAATTCAGACACGCCCACCTGACGCTGGCATTCAAAGCAAGTTCCTGACCCTCAGTGGCCAGCAATGGGGAGATTAACCCCCCTCCTAGGACCTCACTCACCGGAAAGGAAAAAAACCACCACGACGGAGTTAATGATGGAAAACCAGTGGATCTGCACGTCACTCATGGTCAGGTAGGTGTCCCAGCGAGAAGCCCATTTAATGTCACTCTCCTGGAGGAAAAGAACAGCAGAAACTGATCCGATGCCCCAAAAGCCAGCCCCCGCTGCCGGCTCATTACCCACACACCCACTACCCCATTTGTCACAGACAATCAGGCACTCTTCTTCATCTGGTGCCATGTGCATGCTCCTCCCCACCCAGGGTACAGGTCAGCCAAGTCCCCCCGACGCCCTCACCTCCCAATGGACAGAGTAGGTGAAGAGCAGCTGGTTCTTCTTAGTGGGATCTATCTCCTGAGGGGCTGAGCCTGCAGCTTCAGGCAGCATACACGTGCCCTTCTCATCTGCCTTCAGATCTACCGGAGAAAATACCCACATGTTATATGCACCAAATATTTCTCTCCACCACACAGGGAGGAGCAAGCAAGTTTCCCCTGGAGAGCTATGGCACAGTCTTACTCACTGGAGAGAGCAGTGTGCCCTGTGGGGACAGCGAGTCCCCTGCCTTGCTGGCTGAGCAGCCCTGTGTTGTTCAAGCGCTGTTCTTTCAGCCAATAAAGGATCAGCATTAACACTGCTTGCAGGGTGTCCTGGTCAAGCCCCTCCTGAGCTGGAAAGATGGAGGCTACAGCGATCGAGCCTCTAAGACTAGGGACAGTCGCTTCCCCCACTTGCTGACGATCAGAAAGAGGCAGCAAGGTGGGGGAGCAGGAGCCAGTGGAGGGGGAAGCCGGTTCCCCCAGCACTGTCTCTGCGGGGGGCAGCGGGAAAGGGGCGCAAGCAGGACTGTTTCAATCCCCGCTCACATGGAGAAAGCGCTGGGGGAACCAGCTTTTCAGGACTGTTTCAGTCCTGATCGCACCTGTCGCTGCTCCTCTCCTTGGAAACGTACAAGAGCCACCTTCCTCATTTCAAAGGAAGAGGCACAGAGGGAAAGCCATTGGGTCTCTCCCTTTGAAATGTATAGAAGCCGTGGGCCGCTCTTATACATTTCAAAGGGAGAGAGGCAGCGGGATAGCAAGCGCCCCACCCCCCTTATCGACTAACCGAGTAGTCGATGGAAATTCCATCAACTACTCAATTAGCTGATTAGTGAAAATGTAACACCCCTACTTAAGATAGAGGTTTGAAGAGAAACAACCAGGTGGATCCTCAGCATCATCAGAAATACTGAAAACCCATCAACCTCTTTCTTCCCCCAGCTCCTCCCATAGCCAGTGCAGTGGCAGGATCACATTACCATATGGGATCAGACCAGGGTCCATCGCCTGCCATCCCCTGTGTCCAACAGGGCACTACGCGACTTCCCCTACCTTGCTGCCTTTATGAGAGAGAGGCAGCAAGGGGGAGGAGCAGGAGCTGGTCCCCCCAGTAGCAGCTCCACGGGAGGTAGGGGAAGTAGAGGCACGGCAGGAAACAGCGCGAGCTGGGTCTCTTGTACATTTCAGAGGCTCAGGTGCCGCAGGGAGCCCACACTCCCTGCGGGGCTTCCGCTTTTGAATTGTAGCAAGATACCAGCAGGGGTCTTGCTACAGTCCAAAGGCAGAGGCGCCCTTATAGACGAATCAAATAGTGGCTGGAAATCCCATCGACTATTCAACTAATTAATCAATCTAAATTTGACATCCCTAGTCCGGCATATGACAGTCTAACAGAGCTGAGGGAGTCTCATTCCAAACCTCAACAGCAAGTGGTTTGCTCGTACCCTGAGACAGGTGGACACGTAGCCCATCTAAGAATTTTTTTAAAAAATTCCATCCAGCATAGCAGTGGATGTTCTCCTTATCCACATTGATGGTTCTGCCTGCTGTCTTTTTTGAGCCCCATCAGCCTCTGTTAAAGCTAGAGGCAATGAGTTCCACAGGTTAATAATGCAAAAAGACCTTTCACGTGGTGCATTTCAGTTTCCAGCACGCATCCCACTGGTCTGGTTTCAGAGGAGCTTTTATTTAGGTCTAGAGAACATGACCTATGAAGGAAGGCTGATAGAAGTGGGTTTGTTTAGTTTAGAAAAGAGAAGACTGAGGGGGGACATGAGAGCAGTTTTCAGGTATCTAAAAGGGTGTCATAAGGAGGAGGGAGAAAACTTGTTTATCTTGCCCTCTGAGGATAGAACAAGACACAAGGGGCTTAAACTGCAGCAGGGGAGGTTTAGGTTGGACATTTGGAAAAAGTTCCTAACTGTCAGGGTGGTCAAACACTGGAGTAAATTGGCCAAGGAGGTTGTAGAATCCCCATCTCTGGAGATATTTAAGAGCAGGTTAGATAAATGTCTATCAGGGATGGTCTAGACCAGGCATGTCCAAAGTCCGGCCCGCGGGCCAATTGCGGCCCGTGTTCCGGTTTAATACGGCCCCACAGGTAATTTGGCAATATCTATCTTTTATGGCCCCCAACAAATCCATATGTATTGAGATGAATACATTGTAAAATCTCAGTTAATGTCAGTTGGTCTAAATCAGTTATAAATATATTTGGACACAACATGTATACTTGGTGTTATGTTCCTGTTCATATTTTTTGAACTTAAAAGTTGACAGACAACCTTTATTACCAATAATATGTAATGTACTTTACAATGTTCCTGACATATATTTCAGCTTCCTGGATTTTTTTTTCATCTGGCCTTCAGATATGAAAGGCAGAGTGATTTAACACCTGTTTAGATTTGTCATCCATGTGACGAAATGAAAAGTATGCCGTTTGCAATAAACTTTGCATAAAATAGTTAATTTGCATTTAATTTTAATGGTTCAAAGAATGTCAGGCAAAATGGTCGGCCCTCACGCATGTTCACTTCATCAAATCTGGCCCTCTTTGAAAAAAGTTTGGACACCCCTGGTCTAGACAGTATTTGGTCCTGCCATGAGGGCGGGGGACTGGACTCGATGACCTCTCGAGGTCCCTTCCAGTCCTAGTGTTCTATGATTCTATGATTTATAGGGGCCTGTTTCAAAATCTCTCGTTCCAATGTCCAAGTCTGCTTTGCACCTGAAACTTGCCAGCTGGGATTTAGGTTCTACTTTGGAGCTGCAATGTAGATGGCAGAGACTGTAGGGAGCTCTACTGCCACCCTCACAGGCCAGAGCAGACTATGTAATTTACCTTCAAGTTTAATGCTCTGAGGAACCACTTCAAAGCGCACGACCCTGTAGGTGGGCTCCTGGTTCTCTTCCACCTCCTCTCTGTGGTAGTACAGGATGAAGGAGAGGTGGTTGTGCAGGTAGAACTAGAACAGACGGACATTAGAAAAAGTGTTAGCAGCTCAATAGAAATAGACAACAGCTGGGGCAACAGCTGCACCTTCCCCAGAAGGGCAAGGCCTCGATCCATCTGGGCTGCAATCTCTGAGCGAGCAAAGGAACGGGGCTCCTCTTCTCAGTAACAGACTCAGGCTTTGGGTCTAAACAGGAATGACACTGTTGCACTTGATTTCAGACCAGATGACCCCAGATATACAGGGACAGAACCCAGCCAACTGTTCAACAACTCCACTAGCAGCGGGTGCTCCTTTGAACTTACTGCTCCACAACATATCAGTAGAACACCAGACAATTACTGCAGGGGATCCTGGCTGTCACAGGCTAGTCACGGCTTCTCTGGGGCAACTGTATCCCGTCACACCTGGGCAAGGCACAGCAGCTCCACGCAAGTACATCAGCTTCCCTAGTCCATAAGAGCGGAGGTCCCCCAGTGATCGTGGAATGAGGAGTAACGGTAGTTCGAACTAGGAAGCCTAGTTCGAACTACCTAGTTCGTGCCCCGTGTAGCCGCGCTGCACGGGGTTCGAACGAGCGGGGTTTTAAAAATGGCAGCGCCCGGCTTATGCAAATGAAGCGAACTAAGGGTATGTCTACACTACCCTCCTAGTTCGAACTAGGAGGGTAGTGTAGACATACCCTGGGTGACACACTTTAAGCAGCCTCGCCCGCCGTGTAGAAGTGCTAGGTTGAGAGAACAATTTATCTATTGACCTAGCTATCGCCGTTCAATGGGGGGTGGGGAGGGGGATTAACTACAGTGACAAGAGAAACCCTCCCATCACTGGAATGTCCACTCTGATAAACTACTACAGCTGCTATCTGCTGGAGTGTAAGTGCAGACATAACCTCGGGCAGAGGAGCTAAAATACCATATTTCACCCTGCACAACCTTTCACCTGCTGCAGCTTCTAACACCATGATGCAATTCAATACTTCTTTTATGGAGGCCACAAGGTGCCCTTCGTACGGAGTCCCAAACAGGCTTTACACGGGAAGTTTCAAGACAAAGTTACCTTATTACTGTCCATAAAACCCAGCCTGTATCCATGCTCAAACTGCACATCTTTCTCCCTCTTCTTCTCCTCCTCCTCACGATTCGAGTAGAACTCCAGCCGCGTGGCCACAGGCAAGTTATCAGCAATCCTGAAAGCACACCATGCCTTCAAATGAATCCAGCCCACAGCACAGATGGCATGTAAGTGACTAATCGACTTGCTGACTGTCCGATAAGCAAAAGCTTACCAGGTAGCCGACACACTAGTCGACTAGTCACCCTCTGCCTTGCTGCCTCTATCAGAAAGAGGCAGCAAGGTGTTGGGAGAAGAGAAGCAGATGCTGGGGGGAGCCGGCTTAAAAGCCGGTTCCCTGCAGCTCCATGGGAGGGGCAGGGGCGCAGTGGCAACGTTCCAACTTTGAAATGTACAAGAGTCCCCACTGGGGCTCTTGTACATTTCAAAGCAGAAGCGCCCTGGCTCCAGGCCTCATGTGGAGTTTCAATCTTTCTGCTCATTCTGCAGCTTCCACCTTTGAAATGTAGCAACAGCGGGGCAGGCTTTTGCTACATTTCCAAGCGGAAGTGCCCTTATCGACTAATTGAATAGTCGATGGAAATTCCATCAACTACTCGATTAGTTGATTAATCTAATTTTAACATCCCTACAGCACAGCCAAGCCAACCCCCATCCCGGCTACTCCGAAATTCTGGTGGCAACTCACAGATGGATATAGTAATCCTCCTGGATCCGCTCAGCAATCAGCTTGCTCTGTTCCACTGTAAAGACGACTGGCTTGTTGGGCAAGTCACATAGAACCTCACATTTCTTCTCGATGTTCATGAACACCTGGAATGGAGTGTTTACTATCCGGTCCCCTCGCAGAACCTCACCTAAGAAACAGACAATTGGAGGGTGAGACACCCCATTATCAAGCAACAATGATTCTGCCGCAGGGTTTCTAGCACACTCCATATCATGGAGTGAGTAAAAGCTGGACAACAGAGCCTTAAGGAAGCTGCAGAGGCTGTAGCACATGCTGACTGTACAGAAAGACGTGGGAAAGGACAATTTGAAGCAAAGATCTTGTGTGAAGCACCAAGTACATTGATAGAACTACAGAAATAGTAGCTCTCCAAAGTACTGCTTCCCCATCACTTCTTGGCTAACTGGGAATTCCCGCTTCATAGAACCCCATGGCTGGCAGAGCCCTCAGGAGTCAGAGTCCAACCCCCTGCCCAAAGCAGGACCAAACAAACAAAACTATCCCAGCCAGGGCTTGGTCAAGCCGGGACTTAAACACCTCTGGGGATGGAGATTCCACCACTTGCTGCTGCTTCCGATCAGCTTGCAAGAAGAGCATGGGACACTGGAGAAAACCTCCCCGCTGATGACACAAGCCATCACAGGCTACATTTGCAATCATTTCGCCATGCGCTCATTGGAGCCGCTCCCACCCATGCCATGCACGTACTGCTGTGTTCCAAGGACAGGTGCTGCTATTGCTCAGCCTAGGACACAGCACAGGCCAAACCAGCACCACACATACCTACGAGGGGCACGCTGGGGGGTGGGAACCTACCCAGATTCTCAGCCTTGTACGTTATCTTCTTGGGTTGGCAGAAGGGCAGTGAGTAGTACTCGTATGGCAGCTGGGTACGCGAACTGGTGAGCTTCAGTGTTCCAAGGACAGGTGCTGCTATTGCTCAGCCTAGGACACAGCACAGGCCAAACCAGCACCACACATACCTACGAGGGGCACGCTGGGGGGTGGGAACCTACCCAGATTCTCAGCCTTGTACGTTATCTTCTTGGGTTGGCAGAAGGGCAGTGAGTAGTACTCGTATGGCAGCTGGGTACGCGAACTGGTGAGCTTCACCGCCTGAAGAGAGAAGCAGCTGAACACTCAGACCACTGCCAATTCGCCCTACAGCAGCTAGAAGTTGAAGTCTCATTCAGAAAAATAATTTCAAAGGGGAAAAAAACCTGTAAACTTGGCTCCCCACCTAGACCATCTGAACGGCCCTCTCCATCATCACCCACCAAAACCACAGGCAACCCTCTTGCCACCCACAGTACCTCAGTAACTGCCATCGGTAGCCTGCCACCTCCGCCAGGCTTCGTGGGGCCATTCTCTACAGCACAAGAACTCTCACAGCGAGCCCGGCTCCAGCAAAGTTAACTAGGGTGCTGGAGTGCCAGAATGGAGTTCTGTGTCGCGCTCAGGTTTTACCATGTCACTGTCTCCACCACCCGATACCTTAGGTCCATGTCTTTATCTGCAGCCCTGATCCAGGAAAGGGGACATGGGAGTTGCCATGAAGTCCAAATTTCTTCCCCTCTGCAGCCTATTCATAGTTCTGTGTGCCACACCTGCTGTAGCAGCCCCATCTTTAAGTAGCAGGGAGATGCCTGAAGCAGACGTGGCCAATACAGCTGGAGCATCACTCCCCTGTAACTAGGGATGTAAAATTTCAATGAACTGGCTAATTGAATAGTCGGTGCAATTTGCATCGACTATTCGATTAGTCGATAAGGGCACCTCTGCCTTTGAAGTGTAGCAACAGCCCCAGGGCTGTTGCTACACTTCAAAGGCGAAAGTGCTGCAGGGAGCCCAGGGTCAGCTGGGGACTCTGAGTCCCCAGTGGTGCTGCCGCCGCTTTGAAACACCACAGATAGCCGGACGTCAGGCTCCATGTGGCGTTTCAAAGCAGCAGCACCACATGGAACATGAAGTCAGCAGAGGAGTCCCCAGCTGGCCCCGGGCTGCACATGGCATTCCAAAGCCATAGCGCAGCGTGGAGCCCAGGGTCTGGCCCCAGGCTCCACACGGCGCTGCCACTTTGAAGCACCCCTCTTCTTTCCTCCCCCCTTGCTGTCTCTTTCTGATAAAGGCAGCGGGGGGTGGAGGGGGAGAGCGACTAGTCAACTATCCGATAAGCATTTGCTTATGGGAGAGTCAATTAGTCGTTCACATCCCTACCTGTAGCTACAGTCCCCTCGAACCTCTCCCGTGCCTGTTTTTTGAAGCACATGAACAGGTCACAAGTTTGTGAAAACGGTTTGGTGTTATTGTTGTCGCCACCTTTGGAAAGTTCTTAGGCCAGCTCTGCACAACTGCTCTACCTGGCAGGGCACTCCCTGTGTGGAAGAAGCTCATCCAAGCAAAGCTGCACTTTTGTGGGAATACCTGCATCTGCAGTCGGGGCTTTTACTCCCAGCTCTGGTCAGAGATCGCTCTCTGTGCACCCAACCAACACAGCTCTGCTGACAAAAGTTTGTAGTCTAGATTGGCCCTGGTCACATCTCAGTCCTACATGAAGTGTCAAGCAGAAGTTGTTTCTGAAGATAACCGATCGTGACAAAACTGAATATTGCTGGAGGGTACCCACGAAGATGTAGGGCACCATTGAGGTGCAAAGATTCAATAGAAAAGACACAGCTGTTCTGGCAAACTGGAGCTGTTTAGAACGGAAGCCAATCTCACTTACTGCCAACATACAGGAAGATTTGCCAACCGGTCTCATTGCTGGAGGACACGTGGCTTTTGAAATTCCTTTTGAGAGTTACTGTTCTAATCCAATACCTCCTATGGCTACTTTGTGATTTTACTGTACTCCAAGGCTCGTTTTGTTTGCTTAAAAATAGCTTCCGTCAGGGGGTTTGTAGCCAGAAAGCAAGTTGCCATGTGCTTAGTGCCGGACTAGCCAATTCCAGCATTTCCACAGACATCTACTTTCCTGGCTGCCCAGTCAGAAATTAAGCCTACAGCTTTAGAATAAAGAGACAGCTTTAAGTATGCTAATGTCTGGAGACAAAGTCTACGCGCGTGCGCGCACGCACTCCCCCCGCCCCCCCAAGCAGGACAGAAGCTGTTCCAGAGTCAGGTGTAAATGATAATGAATGGCTTGTGGCAGCCTTTGCCATCTCCATGGCATATTCTAGAGGATGACAACAGGGCATACGATGGATTTCAGTTTATTCCTGTTTTGGGGAGACAGCTCATGGGAACTGACTTGAGCTAATGACTTTCTATCCTTGGCTTTATCTGATCGCCTGCAGGACAATGTCACTTCTTGCTTTGCCGGGGCCCCCAAGTACTGCCCGGCTGACAGTTGCATTCAGTTACGTCATGCATGTATCACTCACAGTACTGGAAACAGAGACCTTCTGGTTACTTTCATTTTGTAACCAGTGCTGCTAGGAAACCTCTTGTGCCAAGCTGAGAGAGGCCTATAGGGATTCTGGTGCAGCTGTTTGCCAAGTTCAAAGATATACTTCAGAGAAGAAATGGGTGGCCAAAAAGAGAACCAAACAATAAAGTTGGGACTTTGAGGGAGGAGGAGAAGGATGGTCTGGTCCGGAAGGCCCTTTTATTGACAGGTTATAAAAACACTGAATTTTAGAGGCAGGATCCTAATGATTGATGTTGATAGCCCCTCTTGGCTACCATGCTATAAACATGCTAGAAGCCTTCCTCCAGCCAGGTCACAAGTTTGTGAAAACGGTTTGGTGTTATTGTTGTCGCCACCTTTGGAAAGTTCTTAGGCCAGCTCTTTTGTGTTCTTGTGACATGCATCCTACCTTGATTTCTACGGGGTCCTTCTGGTGGAAGTTGATAGGAGCTACGCCTGGTACATAGAAGGCTACCATGCTATAAACATGCTAGAAGCCTTCCTCCAGCCAGGTCACAAGTTTGTGAAAACGGTTTGGTGTTATTGTTGTCGCCACCTTTGGAAAGTTCTTAGGCCAGCTCTTTTGTGTTCTTGTGACATGCATCCTACCTTGATTTCTACGGGGTCCTTCTGGTGGAAGTTGATAGGAGCTACGCCTGGTACATAGAAGGAGCTTGTTTCATTAAAGAGTGTGAGCAGCTGCAAACACATCAGCCTTTCCTGCAAAGGAAGAGAGAGATCACAGCTGCACTGCCTGGAGGGCACGCATCAGAGCAAGACCCAACGAGAGAGATGACATGGTGGATGAGAAATTCTCCACTCAGCTAACGACATTTATAGAGGCTGCATGGTCTAGCAATACAAGTACAACTGGCTCGGCAGATGTGGGTTCTGTTCCGGACTTGGTGACTCTCGGCAAGTCATTTCCCACTTCCGCTTCTCCATCTTTAAAATGGGATAATATTTGCCTTCTTACCTCACACGTGTGTGGTGAAACTCAGTTAATATTTGCTAAGCACATCAAAGTTTTTAGGTGGAATATCCTACTGATCAGAACCGCAAAGTGTTGCAGATCTAGGGAAACAAGAGCTTGGAAGCAGCTGTAATATTCACCATGACTCTCCTATTTTCACATACAATACACATTATCATTCAACCTGGTAACTCCCGGTTTCACTCCAGAGCAGGTATTCGCTTAACTCAAGCTAGAGATCTGTGTATGGGCAGGGCCAGGTTTGGGGCAACACTAACATTGCACCACGAGCGAACAGTGCACTGAAAACAAACCCTTAGTCAATACGTTCCCGTGAAGTTTCCCCCTGGAAGCAGCAAAGTCCAGTGTCCCCATGTCGCTAGGCAGCAGCCATGGGGCTGGGGGCCTTGGTGAAAGGAAGTACGGGAGAGAACAGGGAAGGAGCTGAGAAAACAGAAGAGAGGGAACAGACTGACCAGATGACGCAGGGCTGGAGGAGGAAGAGGGAAGGAAGCTGTGCTGGTGACAGAGCTTAGCTGCTTGGTCAGCAGCATGTAGGAGC